GCAGGATTTGATCCTGTGACCCCACATGTACGAGTTCATTATGCTACCATGGACCTAAAGCACCTGAATTGTAATTATTGGTGTACAGTACTTAAAGAAGGCTTTAGGACCACTTGATTTGTATAGTTTGAAATTAATGTTGTCCACGTAAAATAATCAGTGTAGTCTTTTATTGACAAGCCAGGGAAGTGTACACCGTACCAGAATACACAGTATTCCCATGGGTTCTTCGTAACACGTTTAGAAATATTTCATCTGCCCTCCCCCTCCATATACATTTTTTCAAACCAGTATTTCCTAAGCACAGCAGATTAGCTCCAGTCATTTGCCTCACTTAATCTTGTGCTGTGTGCACAATTATTTATCAATTACATTACCAGCCGGTTCAGTCTACTTGAGAACATGCACATCCTTTCTCCCTCTTACCCCCACCCCTCTTTGTCTCCTTTACTACCCTGAAAACCCAAGAACCAGTATTATTGTTTATATTTCTTCATCACCATGTGTTACCATAATTTCTGTTCTTCTTTCATTTATTGTAAATTCAGAACACACACACACACACTTTCTGTTACTTTGGCTTTCACCTTATTTTATGCCACACTTAAAAATGGGGTTGGCCCCATTATACTGCAGGGGCCAGAAAGTCAATATTTATATTTGCTGCAAGTTGTTCACAATTATTCTGATTGTAAAGAATCTCTCATATTCACTTGACAGGTGCAGAGGTTCGTGCTGTATACAGGAGAGCGTAACATTGAGTTGGCAGCAGCAGATCACTGCAGCAGGTTGCAGTGGCTGTCTGCTTTGCAGACTGCTATAGCTCATAGTTCTGGTACTGGATATCAGCGTCTGCAGGCCCACCGTCGCCAGCAGCAGCGTGATGTGGCAGAAAAGAACCGCCGCATCGAAGAAATCCGCCGTCGTAGCAGTCATCTTTTTGATATGGAACAGACCCGTGCCCAGTTGCAAGCTGAAAAAATGGTAATTCCCCAAGTATGTTGTGCTTAGATGGCTGTCTTCTGTCCAACACGATTGCCAACAATCGATAATGGCCAAGGCACCAGAAGAAGAAGAAGTCTTCTTTGGGCTGAAGTACTGAAGCTGAATTTTTGATGTTTCGGTTAATCCTGACTTCCTGGTGACTAGTGATTTTTCTCCCTAATTTCTTTATGTGGACCCTTTGGTAGCAACCTTTATGCTGGTATTGAATTTCTCATGGTAGTTGTTGGTGTTCATCATTACCATCTCACCTGGTTGCAAATTATGCATCAATTGTTCCCTTTCCTTAGGACCAATAATACTTCCTGTTCTGCTTAAAGTCTTTATTACTTGTGTTGTTTTGGTGTTGCTTGAGAATGGCAATTTTCCTGCAACGTTTCCGTTGTCTTCGTTGGTAGAATTAGGACTGATCTTTCCACGCCACTGGTAACCTTCCTGGTGTTTTTTAAGATGACAGCTTGTGCTCCAATTTGAATCAGTCGACAGCCCAAGAAGATTTTATCATGTGTACTTCTTTCTGTTTGGAATTGTTCTTTGCAGCTGTGAAAAATTATTCGGCATTTGCACATTAATTAAATGTGTCTACATTTTATGTTCAGCTTTACTAAAAGATTTTATTGAGTTGAATAAAATACATACTTTTTTAAGTTCAAACTGGACTGAACCACTCTCATAGTCTGTGAAAAGTATCACTTCACTAAAATGTACTTTACATTTTGGAAGACAGCACATCACCTCCACACTTGTCTGTGTTAGGCTCGGGTAGCAGCCGAGAGTCAGGCGCGAGCCCTGGAGGCCGTTCATCTTGAAGAAGAACGGAAGCTGCAGGAGCTGGAAAATGTTCGTGCCAGACTTGAAAAATTGCTGGAAGAGGAGACACAAGCCAAGCGGGACGAAGAGATTGTACGAAACTTGCAGGCTAGGTGAGCACGTTGTATTGATTAGTGTTGCTGGGTTTCAGGACTTTATCCATTTCTGGTATTCAGTACAGACCACAATATTTTGGAAACTAGATCTGTTTCCATCCTTTGGTGAGAAGTTGAGGAATACCTTTGGGACAATTAGAAAGAGCACATGCGCTTTGCATTTAACTGCAGAACACCTCTTAGCACTATTAACACATATAGTGTTCTGTGGTAGAATGCATGATCTTCGAGTTTAATTGTGGGGTACCACTGGAATTACCAGTGCTTCTACACAACTTTATTCATTATTTTTACAGCTCTTTAGCAAGTTTTTTTTTCAATTGATGTATCAGCCATATTATTGATTACTCTGGTTACTCATGGTTTTTGTTAGTCTCCTCAAGCAAATACCAGGATAGTACCTTGACATTGAAATCCTTGCCTACTTGACATGCATAATCATTTTCCTGTCTCTATATATATATATATATATATAAAAACTATAGCAGTTGAAAAAGAACAATGTTAAATAATAATTGCTTGATGGTTCTTATACATATTTATTTTTTGGACATGTACAAACCCAGAAAGGTCGGAATTGATCTCATCATGGTCCTAAAGTAAATAATCCATGCAGCCAAGTGAACCGTTATAAATTCTACAAATTTTTAAATTTGTGGAAAAAAATTTTGTGTGTGCTTTTTGCCCATGAGAAAGCAACACAGCAAATGATTGCAACCACTTTCTTTCATTGTTGATTTTGATGCCAGAATGTTGGTAACCTAGCCTCACATGCGTACATCGCATCACAATTTAGCAGACATAATAGACATCTACACCTTAAAAACCTGACATCTCACCTTTTTTACATTTCGTTTCCAACGATCATAATTTCAGTTGGCCCTGACAGCACTGAGAAGTTGTCACAGGTGAAGGAATAATGTGGCTGAGAGTGCAGCAAAGTAAGTAAAGATACAACTCAGACAGATAATGATGTGAAGTCTGCTGCGGCATGTCATGCATTTAGCATTTTTGTGCTAGTGGAATCCAAGCCTCAATTATGATGAGCACCTTGTATTTTTATCACAATATTTAAAAATATATATATTGTGTTGGATAATTAACATTTCACAATATTTGTGCAGAGTTCTAAGGGAAGAGTGGGAGAAACGTGAGGAATTGGAGCAGCTGCAAGACGAGCAAAGAATTTTACTTGAACAAGAGCGAGAGAAGAGACGGGAATTTGAGACGAGACAACATGAGAAAGAAACTAAACTGCTAGGTATGGACTCATATTCTTCTCATTTCTTTTCGCTCTCCCTACCCCCTTCTTCAGTTACATTCTGATTTATGAACAGAACAGTAATTTAATTTGTCAGTTTAATTTTGTAGAACCGAGAAGCTTTAGTGAGTTGTTCTGGGACTGTAAAATGTCAGCAAAGATTAAAACACATCACCTGCCTATTTTGACACATGGGTCAGAAATGTAAATATTGACCAAGATGTTCGTCAACATGACGAGGTGTGATGGGCTGCATCCAACCCATGATTTATAGGTTGAGGTCCCCTGGTTCATTGGATGTTTGATCACGTTATATAGGAGCCATTTCTCGTGAGCTTCATACAGCCTCTTCCTCTGCATTAGTACTGTACTATGTGAATCTGAGGCAATGTCAGATGGGAACTCCATTTCTGTAAGTTCTTATTTTCTGATTTATGTTTTGGAGGCTCAGTAAAAAATCATATCTTGACAGTTCTCAATCTTGCTTCTCTCTGCAGAAGAAGAAAGATCCATAGGTTTTAGACTTTCATTGCTAAAAACCTTCTGGAAGAAGGTGGAAGAGAACTGTAACTGTGCCCTCAGTCTGCATGAGAGGGAGACCAACCCCCTGTGGCCACGAAATTAGCGTAGCCAGCAGTGGCGTAACACAGGCAAGAGGCTGTGTTGTACCATAAAGATTGATAAATTGTGTTCAGTTGTGCTAACTTTGAAGTTGGATTATGCATGTGTCTGTGTTCTTTGTATTACAAAATTCATTTATAAACACTTCACAGCTATTTAGGTGTCCATGCTGGTTGTGCTCTATCATTGAAGTCGCAGCCCCTTAGCCAGACCTTCATCCATAACGAACAGTAAATGTTACATAGTTTGAGGTCAGGAGACTTTTATGGATAGGGATGAACCGTGCTTAATGAGTTGGTGCTCCTTAAGAAGCAACAACTTTGCTGGGCTAATGTTGTGCAGGTGAATTGTCAGTGGTCAGAGGGTGGGAGGGGTAGCAGGTAAGGAAGCATATACTGTCTAAACCATAAACATTATTTCACAGTGGCTGTGTCTTACTGTTTCAAGTAATATTTTTAGTTTACACAGTATATGCATTTGTTTTCCTTCTACCTGCAAGCTAGTGACATAGGCGAAATGCGTGGTTTGGTCATGACTGCTGTACAGTTTCTTATGCACTAAAGCCTCTTTCTCTGTTGTAGTTTTGCTTTGTTTGTACAGAGGCAGAGAAGCGATTGAGGCAGCTTGAAGAGGACCGGCTGCAGCTGGATACAGAGCTTAATTTTGCGAGGGACAAGATCATGGTCTCCGAGAAGTCAAAAGAGGTGCTTGAAGCGCAGCTCAGGGTCAGTAAAATCATTAGAAGTCAATTTGCAGTTGTCCTGAGTTTAGTAGTAAAACTTCATGTTGACATTTTTGTAGATCAAGAAGTTTCTATAGACATTTATATCACATGTGAATATGAACTAGTTTAACTTGTAACACCGCTTGTCAGGGTCGACAAATTTGCTAAAGCTTCCATTCCTTGATTCATTATTATTATTATTATTATTAAGTGTTCTGTCTTACGACAGGTCCATTGCTCTGCCCAAAAAGAGCTCTCCAGTTGTCCCTATTCTCGGCTTCTCGCTTTAATTCCTCGAACGTCATCTTCTTTCCTTGATTCATATCCGGGCATATTTCCAAAGTGCCAGCCATTTCAGTTCAAAAGCATACATTTTAATTTTGCTTTTTATCAACAGATTTTCTTATTTAAAACTTTTATTAGTGAACTTTCAGTTACCAAGGAAGAAAGCAAGTTATCATTGCAACATTTTTACCATCCACGTTGAGTTATGTGATATTTGAGTATGAAATGCAGCATTTTACATGAGTATGATTACTGAAATAAACTGAAAAAGCATTGACATATAAATTGAAGATTCTCTGTGTCCACATCATTGGCACGTTTTTGTGGCAGTCTGAATCCCTTTTTCTACCCCATTAGTATGAAGGTAACCTAAAATTCAGTCTCCCATCTCTTAATTTTCTTTCTACCATTTTAACAAGTTTTGTCGTATATTTTTGTCCCAAGACAGTAAAGTGGTGGTGTGTTGCAGGTAATGGGGCATCAGGTACGACAGTCAGATCGCGTGAGACGTGCTTTGAGCTTCATGCCTTCTACTAAAGAGTGTCCAAGTTTGGTCAGTTTGCGTCGACCAGCACGAGACAATGGTCAAATGACAGATGATGGTTAATTCCTGATGACATCATTAAATACTTGCTTAACCCCTTTTACTGATGTGTCATGTAACATGATGGAGTACGCTGTAGCTGTGGTGTAGTCTCAAATGAAGGTACGTCCACACAGAGTACTTGTGCGATCGAGAGCCAGGATGGCTGAGACATTCATATTCATTTAAGTATTTCACATGTGTATGATCTGCCTTTAGTCTGTGCCGTCTTGCCGCATAATGGTCCATATGCAAAACCAAACTAAACAGAGGGAAGTTCATGTACTTGCATGGTGCTATTACATTCTAATCAACAACTATATTTTTTTATCAGACATTTATTTTTATTTCTAACACTAATTTGTACTGTTCAGTGTTGAATGTTGTTAATTTTTTATACTTAATATATTTTAATGATTGCTACCTGCTATCTTGAATTTTAATTTTATCCACAGAACACCTTCAAGTTTCCTCACTATCATACTCGGTATTGAATCCTGATTTTGACAAGAAAATGTTTTATTAGTGCAAACTTAATCCCTGTTGTATGTGCAGTCTACAGCCTCTTCTGTATGTTAAACTCTTGAGTATAGATGTAGAATATTCTTTTATTTTAAATTTTATTTGGTGTATACTAGGGGTAAAAATCATTGTTTATTAAGTGAAGTACGTTAGAAGATTTGGGTTTTTGATGTTTTTATAATGGCGTGCACACGTGATCTTCGCCTTTCATACTCTGGAAGCTGCAGTTGATCTTCTTACTTTGTCTGTGGGCATCCGATATCTCTCTTCGCAGTAGGTTTATATTCAGTAAACAATTCAGGTACAATGTCTTGGTACTTGGGTCTTCTGTAGTAAGTGGTCTAGTCTTTCTTCTTGTAACTAACTAATTTAATATTAGTCACTTGTATGAGGGTTCTTTCACGTTCAACCTGCTCATGGTGCTGCTGGCAAAGACAGCCTGTCACAGGCGATAATGTCGCTGTATACATTACACACCAGCAGTCAACCACGAACTGTACAACAGAAAAAGGCGCATAAGAACAAATTGAACATTTTGACATGGTCAAATGCTTGCATTCCAGTTACAGAATCCATCCATGACATCAGTGAGCACCTGATGCTGGTGTTCAAGGAATCTGACATCATAAGTGCACAAGTTATTGTGAACCCTCCAATGCCATCAAGACAAGTGTCCCAGCATCCTTAAGAGGGGTGTCATCATGGACATGGACATATGTTCATGACAAATGGCTGTTGTCATGTTCTCATGACCAGTGTCATTGGCCATGGGTCCATTTCAAGTTTAGGTATGGCAAACCTTTTTAAAGTCCTGTGTTTGTTTCTGTGATGTATTTCAAATAAATTATTCCTTACAGTATTAATTGAGAGGTTTGCTCTTGAATTTTGGCTACTAATGCTGTTACATCAGATTGGCAATTGTCTTCCTCAAATTCATGAATGCAACACTACTTCCACTGGTAAAATTATTTCTGAAATTGAAGTTCTCATGATTCATCTTGGGAAAACAGGCATCGCAAGGGAAATTTTATCACCACCACTTAAAACTTTTAAAGTGAGAAAGTTTTGGATGAGCTGTTTCACTTAAACTAGCCAGTTTGAAGAGTTCTTGACTTTGTTTACCTTTCACAGAATTAACTATGATGTCTAATCATCACAAAGATGTGACATCTGCCATTTCGTGGTGGCAAATGGAGAAATAAGTACAGCAGGTTTAATGGGACATGAGCTAAGGACTTAAGTTGTTTACCACTCAAATGAATATTGCAAAACCCATAGCCCATGTCCCATTGAACTAACTGTACAAGAATGTGAATCCATGTTCAGTTCCAGTGTCAGGTTAATTGTGATGCATTGTGTCTGATCCTTGGATTCATTTTCTAGAGGCCTAAAGGTTCAATCTGAACAATGGATGTTACAGCAAGGAACAGCCATTCCCAGCGTCTAGTAGACGACTATGCTGTGCTGGGTTTATGGCCAGTCCAGTCTATTGAAAACAGCTTTCACTGCACACACAGGTGATGTCTTCTTGCCATACCAATCTGTTGAGCCAAGGATTTAAAAATTTAATCTTTACATCCCATGCCACTGTATCCATCCAGAACAACATTGCTCTTCAGTATTGTCCTGTAAGTAAAATTTGGGACAATTGTAGCCTAGCCCTGATGCTGGCATGTGAAACTTCCACCTACTTATTTAGGGCTATATTTCGAATGGAATGGAATGAGGACCCTGTTGGGGAGTGTTAAGAGTGAGGCAAGGCTTCTATATTTTCAATAATATAGTCATGGGGGTAGATTTCCCTATGGATACTGCTGTTAGTCGAAGGAATATTATAGATGTGATGCTAGGCATATATTAAGTCGGTAATGAGGGCAGTGACATCACAACTATAGGACCCACGAGAGTCACACTTGTACGCACTACTTTAGGTGGTGAGAGGACTGTGCAGTCAGAGATACGGGCACCTTGTGGGACGGCTATATGATCATTAATATAGGCCCAAGAACGAGACCTTGTCAGTGTTACAAATTTTTTCAGAGGCGTCTATAGAATCAGGAACATGGACACGAGGCGAGACGTCTGCGCAGCCAATATTATATACTTAAAAGGGAGGCTTTCATTTAGACAGTTTTAGGCAAGAATAATGCCTATGTAGCCAGTGTTTGGTATGATCATCGGCATCCAACATATCAGCATGGTACTCGAGTACAGACTCCAATATAGCCCATACAATATGTACTTAAGCTATATTTACATTTTCATCTCTTTTTTTTTGTCTTCGTCGTAGGCTGCGGTCACACTGCAAGCGTATTCGCGCGAATTAATTGTCGGGCGTTATCGAGCAAGTTCGGGCGAACTTTTAGTGGTAGTACTGCAAGTGACATCGCGCGAACGTTTGTGGCGCGAGCCTTCAGTATGAAAATGGAGTTGAGGAAGAGAACTGTTTGAATACATACCAGTACATATTAAATGCTACTGAGGAAGCAATAAAAAAGCAGAGTAATTTCCGAAACTGTATTTCACCATCAGAACGCTGCTGAATTCTTTGATAGATGAAAATTTCCTAATTGTGTGGGCTACATTGATAGGAAACATATCCGTTTGAAATGTCCAGAAAAATCGGGGACGCAGTTTTATAATTACAAATAATTTTTTTCCATTGTTTTGCAAGCTGTTTGTGACGCAAACTATAAATTTGTGTGTGTTAATATAGGCTGGCACGGAAAACAGAGTGATGGAGGAACCTTCGCTGCATCAAGTTTTTACATACCCCTCGAAAATGGATCATTGAAATTGCCACAAAATGCAAATCTTCCTCAAACTGATGTGTCACTTCATGTTTTATTAGGTGATGACGCGTATCCTTTAAAGACTTATCTGATGAAACCATATTCAAAAAGAGCTTTATCAAGGGAAGAACACATGTATAATTACAGACTCTCCAGAGCACGGAGTGCCTTCGGTATAATTGCAGCCAATTACTCTGAACCAGATAAAGCTGATTTAATCGTAAAGTGCATATGCTTGTTACATAATAATATTATTGAGAAGGAAAGTATTTATGATCCATCTATCACATCGTCGACACCACAAAATGCAAGCATAATAAATATAATCAATCACTATCAAATAATAGGTCAGCACAACAGGCTTGTGACATCGGAGACGCATTTAAAAAGTATTTTAACAGTAGTGAAGGTAGCATTATCCAACAGTTCAACGTTCCCTAATTATCTGTGCCACACACAATCCACTACTTCAACAAACATAAATGTAGAATTTGTACTGGTGTAGCAAGGAAGAGTTTGTAATAAACTTAAATTGCAATATTTAGTCACTAATTTTTTGTCATAACTTCCTTGAAACCTCTCTGTTGTGATAAGTTTTCATTTTTTGGTCCCACAAAGCCTTCTCATTGAACACAAGATGAATTAATTTTTCAGTATCCATCTATTCGCGCGAATGAAACAAACATGTTTGAACGACGAGCGATGTCGAGCGATACGCGCGATAACTTCGCTTGCAGTGTGACCGGTTACAGGCCTTGTAACGTGTTTGGTAGTTCGCCCGATAACGCCCGACCGTCAGTTCGCGCGAATACGCTTGCAGTGTGACCGCAGCCTAAGATTGGAACAACTCAACAGCTTTTCTTGGCTGAAATACGTTTTGCTCGGTCCGTACTGCATCATTAAGTTTGCTCAAAACAAATATTCGTCCGCTGCCTGTTACGTTCACCTATGACCCGGAAAAGAATCTTGTAGACAAAGGAACGCATCTTCTGGCTCCGTCAATGGCAAACGATGTCTTGAGCAGATGAGCGAGTGCCAGCTTCTCAAAAAGAATTCTGCTTCATATGATCAGAGATCAGAATTTCAAATTGGACACCGTCGATTGTTTGTGTTTTTCTTTCGTTGCAGTTAATGATGGGTCTGATTAAAACGCCCTCGTAATGTGCTTTTGCTAACTAACAAGATGACTCACGTTCGGCTATCCTACGCTGCTGCGCTGTGTACTAGAACAAATGCCGACAGGGTGGCGCTGCATTCAAAAGTCGACGTAGCTGTGCTGTGGCAGTCATTCTAGTGGAGGCCGTCGAGTGAGAAGCACGTGTAGAGAGGCTGGGAACTAATCGGAGCAGTTCCTAGTCGAAACTAAATATTTGATCAGGAATGTAGTCGTCCGCGGCTCCAAAAGAAGCAGCACCTTTTAACACAAGATAATAGAGACAGCCAGGTATGGTCAACTATACTGTACTGAATTTAGGTTAGAGAAATCGTGTTCACAGTGACATATGAACCTCGGTAAATTCTGCCACACGGCAGTCATTTATAGTTGACTCATTCATTTGCATCCAGTTCGATGTTGACGTGCGCTAACCTCAAAACGTGTGTGTACCATGAAGGTAATAGCAGATGTGGTCTTCCTCAGTGACGGCCTTGCGCAATGGCAGCAGGTCAGTAATAATTGGTCTTACGAAACGCGATAATATGGTGGACTGATGTCGCAAGCCTGAGCTTCAGTTTCACAATTCCATTGGGATTTTACATTATCGCAGGCGAATCTCAAATGTCAATCGGTCAGTGCCACGAACAAAGAGCGAGCCCACTTTGAATTCAGTGGTCTTCAACTTACAGAACTGAGTCTTCACAACCTTGTGTTAAGCCCTCAGCAAAAGCATTCTGGCTCAAGGGTTTTGACGTGCCATAAAACCAGACGAACACATTGTTTCCAATTAAGGCTTTGAATTTATAGTCTCGCGTAGTATGAACGAACAGCCCATACTTTTGCGTAAAAGTATTTCCTACATAATTTCATTGTTGAATCTGCATCTCACTAATGCAAGCGAAACAGAAAGACTTGGTGATGTATACTTTTGCGTAAAAGTATTTCCTACACAACTTCATTGTTGAATCTGCATCTCATTATTGCAAGCGAATCAGAAAGACTTGGTGATGCCAGTGGGTTCATCAATAGCAGAACCGCGACTTCTTTCAATCCGTTTAATTAACTCGCATTTGACATGACTCGTGTCCATTGTTGTTCTCGAAACTGCAGAATCTACGTGTGGAATGACGTGATTTTCGGCAGTCGTCGCCCCAACCAGACGCTCCACACACACATTACTTCCATTTTTATTGTATAAAATTAACTGTGCATTGTTGTGAAAACAAGGACGTTGTATATAAAATGAGTTAGTCCGCCATTCGACAGTATTATTTAGTGGAACTGCAGTGTTCTGCAGAACGCAGTCTGAGAAACACGGCTGTAAGGAATACAATGAGCTTGATCGAACACCTGTGTTACAGACGGACAACACAGGCTTTAATTACAGTTACTTTACGTTTCTGTAATTCTATTGTGGACTGCCTTACCACCAGACACTTGCAATGTCAACTTAATGCATTAGCCTGCATCTGATGTTTACGTGCACAGGCGTAGAAATGTTGGTCCGTAACCGAGCACTGTCAGGCATCCAGTGTCGACTTCCAGCCCCCCTTTTACTGCAGTCGCCCGCAGACAGACCAGTTCACCTTTGATATGGAATCGAGTTTGTTTTCTTTGAGGTACGAACTGAAGTCAAGTTCGCTCTTCACAGGGTCAGTTGCTAGTCAAAATTTAAGGACAAAGATTCTCAGAGCAGATTAAATTCAGGGAATTATCTCTACCATTTTGTTACGCAGTCTTGTGTCTCTCAGATTACTGTCTGAATCGTAAATATTAGAATATACCAGACTGCTTTGCGTGGGAGTGAAACTTGGTCACTGCCATTGACAACACAAATTGAGTTTCCTTCAGAACAAGGTCGTTAATTCACTGATATTTGCGGCTATAAGGACACAGGAACAGGATAATTGCGCAATTAGAAGCTTCATAATTTGTGCCCTTCGCCAGATGTCAGGAAAACCCGGGAGAATAAGATGGTCGTGCCATGTAGCACGCCTGAAGGGAGAAGATCCATGTATTAAAACAGATCTCGAGGAAATAGCGTTTGAGGGTGTGGACTGTAGCGGGCTTTTGTGAACATGGTGATGAATCTTTCGGATCCATAAAGGACGGGTAATTTATTGACGAGCTGAGCGGCGGTCAGGTTTTCGGACTTGGTTGACCATTTGAAGCCGAAGGTTGATAATAATTCGGTCCGTACCGCAAAGAAAACAACATTTCACCATTTCAGATATCAGTTGATTAACGCTGTTTGAAGAAATAATCGCTGTTTAGAATGAGAATCATACGGTACATAAGTAAAAATGTTATGGTACGTATAGTTACCAGCGAGCTTTGAAGTGTTGATATATATAAAATACGGAATATTTCAAATCAAACTGGAGTTTACTTAAGAACTGGGCGTAGTAATAATTTTTGGTGATGCAAAGTCTCTGTGACATTTGCCCAGAAACTGGAGGTGGTAGGTTCCTACAAAACTTTGTTGACTAGCCATGACCCATAATTACTCGCGCAAAGACGTTGGGGTCGGCACAGAAGATATTTCGCTACTGTCGGAGACGTAAACTCTTATGTCGACTTTACAAACGAATCTGTCAATTATGTAAGAGCTTTTGTTCACTGCCGAGACGTCACGAAAGACGAGGCGGGTTCCTAGAAAAATGTTAATTTCCATTGTGCGTTCCATTCTTCTCGGCGCGAAGTGGCGAGTCACAGGCTGTACCAAGAAACTCTGCGGCTGTCTGAGGGGCCACATTGCGGCCTTGAGACAGCCTCAGGTTAGAGACACGAATCGAACTTCATTGGAAAAAAAAAAGTAGCCCGGAGCCCATCGAAAAACGAAAGGTCCGGACATTCCTGAACATTCAGCGCTTTTGTTCAGCTTAGGATGAAAATCTGCCAGATTCCAGTCCATCGCTGTTTGGATGGTTTTATACGAGGCACGCAGATTAATACAAAATGGTGTTGACAGATTGCCGGCCCCCACACGTTGTCACCTGGGCCATTTATCAAGAGTCAAGTCTCGCCCTCGGTGGACTAGTGGTTAGCGTGCTCGCCACTGGACCCAAGGTTCGCGGGTTCAAAATCCGTAAGAACAACTTCCTTCAGAGAGGAGGCATGTATCGTAAAAGGACCTTACGAACATGAACGAGATGTTTCGTAAGCAAAATTCAGCGGCCATCTTCTTACTTTGGATGCCCGGTTTGCGTGCGGTTACAGGGCGAGATATAAATTTGGGTATGCGGAAGGATATGAAGGGATATTTGGTGCAGGTTTTGTCGGAGGGCAAGAGTCTCCGAATCTCAGGATATATACGAGGACTGTGATGGTTAGAGCGGCATTTGCGCCAAGGAAGTGAAATCTCTGGCGTTGAGGAACTGAAGACCACACCGAAGTTACCTCGAGACACACTGTCGTACAACCAATTACTCTGATCGGAAGGCAGCGCGATGATTCGGCTGTTGTATTTGTACTTGAAATTTAAAGGTACAAGCAGATACTGTCTGCTTGACTTGAAAAACCAAATTTTTTGAGGGCCAGCACCAACGCAATCCCGCTATAAATACCCCCGCAACGTAACTGTTCTTAAATTTTGAATTTAATACGACGATCTGATTTCGTCAACCCAAAAGTCACCCCATGAACGCGCCGAAAAGCCACATTCGAATTTCATTGGTTCCAGTCGCAGTGAGAGGCAACCGTCATTCCACATCTTGGAAGGGCTTAAGTTTTCGCCTCGTAAACAAGTTTTACGAGAGCGAAAGCTTTGTTAAAGTCACGTTCCCGTTAGACGGAATGTCGGGAGGAGAGACGTTCAAGCGACTGAGTGTCGCCACTCTCTTGCAGTTTAATTCATTTAACAATGCAAAAATTAATAAAATAACTTAAATTTGGATGAAGTCAGGCGTACCAAATATCCTCTAATCGCAATGCCAAAACCTGGTTCAGCCCGTTCGGGAATCGAACCACGAACCTGGACTGAGTAAATGCACACTTCAAAGACAAAGAAACCTCCCACATGGGAGGAGGAGGAGGTCAAGGCTTCGCCATAGAAAGAAGATGAAATACATTGGAGATAATGACGAACTAAAAGTCGAACGGGTGTCACTGGTATTCTGTAAATATTGACATCTATTCAGAACCTTCAAATCTCGTTACTTCGTTTTTAGCGACAGGACGACGAATCCACCCACCAAAATCATTTGTGCTGGTCCGATAGGTGCAGGGGCCGATTACAGTCAACACACACGAAGGTGAAATAGATACAGAGAAGAAATACACCCAAAAATGTGGGCATGTCACTTTGGGCACTCCACTCACACAAAAATTGTGCGCTTATTTGTAGTTTCCCTTTTGGGGCGTCGACAGTTTTATTCAACTAGTTTTGTTTTCGCGTGTCTGCATTCTAACAGGGCAAGGATTTTTCGTGAGACGAATTTTTGCAGTGTGCCGTCAAGAGTCTTTGACAAATCAGGGTAAGAAGTCAGCGGAACACTTTGCTAGACCAAACTTTCTCAAAGACTTGAAACTTCCACGTTCTTACGTAGGCTTGTGCAATCTGTGTTGCCATAATTGATGTACGTTACTGTACACCAATGATCTCGTTGATGCGTTCCTTCGAAGTCAGCTTCCTGCAGAAATAGGGATTAATAAAAGCTGAGACAATTTTAATAGGAGTCGTTTCAGGAAGTGTTTACATCAACTTCTCCTTCAAACACATCCTGGTTTACGCAACGAAAGGTCTGATCACTCCTAATTAAATTAGAATGTGTTGTGCAATGCCGCGCGTTTGAGTCACCGATTTATTTTGAAGTGCGACCTCCAATTTTGTTCCTCGACCTTCCGATTTCACGAAATCGATTACTTCTGCTCTCAAGATGTCAACTGTGTGTCGAGTTTATCTTCCCAGAAGGACGTTTGATAAGATTTTGCCTGAGGTCGATAAAGGCGAGATTCCTCTCCAATGACGAGATCGCCTCCTGCTTACCTGGTTTCGTGATGTCAGAGACGCTTTCTGTATAATGACTTTTCAGCCCTTGGGCGGAGTTTCATGAAAATGCCCAAACCGCTGGAGACATCTCACCTTTTTTATACTTTTCTCTCCATAAATAAATTGAAATTGCCTTGTGATTTTTTTCGGACAGAAACAACACTGCCCTCTTGATGTTGAGTTCTGAATTGCAACTGTCTTAAGGTACAATTTGGCTGCACGCGACAGAGGCAGACGACAGAGACGGGAGACGGACACATCGCAGTTTGTCGCCACACACTTTTGAGGTGACGACCGAGACATGCGGCAAAGTATTTGTTTTCTTTGTTTTGTTGAGACATACAACTGAGTACAAAAATGCTTCTAAAAAGGTTAATCGAAGAAGATGATGTGTTGCTGTGTTATTTGTTACGAAAGAAACAAAGAAAACCTATGAGTTCAATATTCAAAACCAGACGTGAAGAAGGATCTTTCTGTCTGTTAATAAAGAATCATTTATCATTAGAAGAAGATAATTTCAGGAGTTATTTCAGATTGAATCATAAGCAGTTTGGTTACGCACTGACGTGCTGCCTGAGCCCGTCGCGAGACACTACTGGTCCGAGAGCGGTCTCCTGTGCTTTGTCTCTGTCTCGCGCTCGTAATTGTACTTCATACGATTGTACAGAGAGCAGACAGGAAGCGACCAGTCTCGGTCTCGTAACTCTGTCGCCTGCCTCGGTCGCTTGTCTCTGTCGCGTGCAGCCACTTCTTCACATCTTGCAAAGAAGAAAATTTATATCCATATATTTGTACATTTTCCCTCACGTGTACGGGTCTCGAACCCACACCGAGTGTTGTATTGCAATTGCTGCTGTGTGCTCGAGGCTGCAAGCAAATTCGATCTCTGTTCTCGTGTTGAACGCCACAACCAGTGACGTTGCAGCTGACCACGTTTATACGAGTCCGACTCCTTGTATTACACAGCAAACTTCGACCTGTCGCCTGCCTTGCGTTCGCCTTAATTCTTCTCACGTGCTCGGACTAGCCTGCCACCCACCTACTCGTAATTTCTAGAATTTAATGACATGAACGATACCCGGGGTCATGGAAAACTACAAATGAAATCGCACACGCGGGCTAATTTTACGCGAATATGAGAATGCATAACACTACAGCAAATGAACTTCAAAATACAGTAGTGACACCTGGGAGTTGAAGAAAAAGGACGATCAGCGAAAGTGATGGATCTTCTGCGTTATCAGGCAAAGTTTAAAAACCGATTTAATTCGGCGTAACAAGAGAGAATGGCAGAGATGAGAAATCTGTCGGCAAGCATGAAGGGGGGACCACTCTTCAGACGGGACGTGGACCAGAATTATCTGGCGCAGGACAGGGTCGAGCGATTTGACTCTTCTGAACACAGTGGTGCACCTTCGAGGTTGTACAGATGACGGTGAATTTGAGCATCTTCGCGACTATTGGCTTCTCAAGAACGCGGTAGATTTATAGCCGATATCGGTAATGGTTTCTGATTCTCTTGTACGCTCGTTCAAGAAAGTGAATTTGTTTGGTCATTTCGAAGTGACAGGCGACGTCTGTGAACACCAATTGACAGTAAGTAATAACTGTGAGGTAATCAGTGGCAAACTGAGTATGAGTAAGGACACAGTCTCTTCCAGATTATTATTTATTTAGTGTTCTGTCTGACGACAGGTCCATATGAACAGGATCCTTCCATCCTTTTCTCGGACTGGGACCTGTTCATATACGTTCTTGGCAGATGATCCAGAAGTGGTTTGCCATTGCCTTCTTCTGTGTGTGAATGGGATGCCACGGAGAAACCGGGGAAGCCCCCGGAGGAAAACTCCGTGTTGCCTAGACCACGGCCTTGCCCAACACAAGTTATAAATTCGAACCCGAGATCCCAGGATTACAAGGCCAGCGTTCTAACCGCTAGACCACAAACATAAAAATACTTCGAAGAGACAAAACCGGGAAACAGAATATCATCCACAGCCCTTCAAGATCTTATTTGTGAGGTCATTCGCACTTATCTCCCCCCCTCACTTCAGTTGACGTGGTTTTCCGCAGAACTGCTCGCTGAGGTCACTGAACTTCACTCCTGCAGATTTCCCCGGAAAAGACCTGATATTTTGCGCATGGTCCAGATCATCTCGTGCTTGAAAGATCCTGGTTTTCCGCGGACATTCCTCCTCCATGCCTCGTGCGGGACTTGAACACGCGGACACAGGTCGGGTATGCCGTGTGTGTTCTTGATCACTGTGAGCGTGATGTTTTATGTTTCAGGTGCATGCTAAGGAAATAACATTTTCAAGTGAGATTCCGTCCATTCGATAATCGATGGGGTGAGAAGAATCATACCACGTATTTCTAGTCCTGTTCCTTGGCATTACTAAACGCGCAGTTCCTACGTACATCATCATCATCATCAAAATTTACTTCCAGGTAAGTGAAAGAGACTGGACGTAATTGTAATAAGCAGAGGGAAAGGTCACGTGAGGAATTTGATGTTCTTTTGTTTCCACGTCTGACTGACGAGAACGGCTTGCAATTTCCTGGGGCAGTTCACGTAAAACGAGCATGACATTCTGTGTTTAATCCTGACTCTGCAATTACATAAGCCATGATGTATGCATCTATCACTTCGTTCCGGGCAAATTTTCAAGGACAAAAGACTGCAGTGAGTGAGCGTAGTCGTCACCAAATTGCATGGTTCAAGGTCACAGCCGGAGCCCAGGCGAGTGAAGACAGCTCAGAACTAGCGGCGTAGCTTAACGCCGCGCGGAAAGGGGGTCGGGGGTCAGGTCCTTCCGTGGCTACGACGGAATCCAGGAAGACGACCTTTGGTTTCTCGTCGGGTTTAGATGATATTAAAAAGTTCCTGAGGGACTAAAGAAGGCCCTGACCTGTTTGGACAGTCGCGTCGTGGTTTTCCTCACCTACTCTCTTAGCCAGAACAGCAGGAAAGCCTTATTTGGTGCATTGCAACCAATTCAGTTGGTGCAGTATCGTTACATAATCATGAAAGACACACACATAGGGTTCGTTAAATTGTTTCAAGGAGCAAGGCTAGGTCTTTCGATGTATTGTACTACCTACTGGCGAGACGACCGGAGTTCGGTTCCCCACAGGTACACAAATGCTTACTATCGCCAACACTTGCAGGACGGCTCAGGAACTCCTGTCCAGTGCGGTGGCAGGGACAAGGCGGCTGGAGCGTCCAGCCGTACCTGACCTCGCTCATGGCGTGTTGTTAAGTTACGAGAACTTCACCTTTTCCTGTTGTAACTGCGTACATCTGAACACTGTATTTACATTCCGTCATTTTTAGACTCTCTGGCGACTTCAAGGCGTCCGTCCGTAAGAGCCTGACAACCTCTGGAAAACTATGTCGAAATGTTGATGTCGGGAAGAACAGCCCTAAAATATGGCGACACGTTTCAGTTGCGGTTGAAATCGGACGAAAACAACTGACAGTTTACACGAAGATTTGCTTGCATTTCTGCGCGCGAAAATGTGAGAATTTCACCGGACGAATTCCTCGGCCATTCCCGAAGGTCAGACGCGAAATTCTTCGATAACGCCCCGGAACTGTTACGCTCTTCGTCCGTCTTTTGTCTCGCTGTTCGAGCCTGCAGTGCTTCGACGAAATGCGGACTCACTACGACGTACATGAAGTTAACGTATGCAAAAAAAAAAAAACAACAGAGGTAGTTGATTGGACAGAATGATACAGCAGCCCTCGTTGTTTGTTTTCTTGTAGAATCCGGTCTGTCAGTCTTGATGGCCGCCCAAGAGTCGGTCCTGACTTTCATCGCCGTTTATGTTGCCAGCTGCCACGTGCACAGCGTTTATTACGTTCTTGCGTAAAATATCTCTTCCAGGGAAACGCAGGTTTATTTCCGAAGACGCCGTCCGCAAGCGGAATGCTTTGGCTGGCGTTAACCAGGCGCGTACTTCCACACTTTGTACGAGAACTTAACTGGAAGTAAGCGATTCAAGAGTTCTCTGACACTCGTAACTCCTCGTCGCTGGCTCAGGATAGGGGCCTGTGGTGACAGAAATCTTTCCGGTCGACCCTCAGCGTAAAGTGACGATAGTTTGGGCGATATCTCTTCTGGGTGGATAAGACCGCGGAAGTTTACGTAAGGCTACGAAGATTTTAACACTCGTCCACAACCTGATAAGGAAAAATGACTTCAGTTCTGCAGATGTTTACATACTTAACTGGGAGGGGGGGGGGGGGGGGGGGAGAGATAAAGTTCCCCCCCCCATGAAACATGTTTGCAGAAATTTGATTAATCGAAGGCAAATACCGAACTGTGCTTTTCAAACGTCACTGCAGAAGCTCTCTTCGCCGGGTTGCATCATACACAGGGAAAGCACTGAATGAAGACCTGTGACCTCCTTCTCTTTTCTGATCTCCGTGTGATTTATTTTTTAACAAACCGAACTCGCGTCAGAAATGATTTGCGTGACTGTTCGATCACTCTGTAGCATGCACAGTACATCCTTATCTGCCACCCCTCTCGCCCCGTTGCCTTTCTCTTGCATCGGATGTCGAGCGCACATATTCGCCCCGACTACAGCCAGAGCAGTCGAAACTCCCGCGGCATTTATTCTGTGCTGGCAGACAGTTTCAAGAACTGCGAGACTGGAGCTTCCAGAAGACAAAATTACAGACTGCGTCTTATCATGGGACACGAATGAATAGTTTTCAGAATTTTGATCCATCTGTAAGATTGATTTGGATGTTTTTTTGCGTTATAAATAGCAAATGTGGCTGGAGTTACGCGCAGTTTGGTGGAGGCAGGACCATGTACTTGTGATGGTAAAATATTCTTCTCGGAAGTGCAGGATATCAGCATCCAGGCACCAGCGCCTGCAGAGAAGCCATCTCCTTCCTCTTTTGTCTGCGCACACACATTCAGGCTCATTGAAATACTTTACGACGTTCAAAGTCAGTGCGTGTTGACTCCAAAAGCAAGCAGCATCTTGGGAATACAGAGTGAGCCCAGTTTTCGTATTTTCTTGAGAGGCAGCTCTCCGCACGAGTGCCAAGATTTATCTGAAAACGATATGTCAACGAAGCTTGAGAACTACAAGATTGTCGTATGCCGTGGAGTGAGGGAGTTCTGTTATGTAGGATTTGTGGTTTTCACGGCGGTGTAGGTGGGGTCCTTGCTGCCTCCATCATCAGGGCGATGTGAGGATCTGCAGCATGTAGCACGCACAAGAAACGTGGGCCAGCAGACGCCACCCACCCTGCCTTAGTACAGTGGTTTTCCGCTCCGGCGCCAACATTACCAGCATGACAATTGTGCGAACTTGTGATAAGTTTTGTTTGGTGACATCCTTGGAAAATATAGGCCTACAAGACTTATTATCAAAACCTGATTCTTTGGGGGGCGAGTGTAATTACTTGGCGACCGCCAACCAACGGTAGTTTCTTGAAACCCGACTTATCTAACAGGTTTATGATGCCTTGGTACAAACATTTATTTTGTATTAACACTGCAGTAGCACAGCTCGAAGGTTCAACGCCAGTCATAACAAAAGCCGCCATTGTACACGATCCTCAGCCAGTTCCATCCACCTCCCAATCTCACAACATTCCTCCTAAGATCCGCCTTTAATATTATCCTCATACCGCGTTATCGGTCTTCCAGGTGCCAATTTCTGACCAAAATTCTGCGTGCATTCTTTGTCTCCCCCGTCCTAGACTCATGTTTCATCTTTAGGTCCATCGACATTTCGTTCGCTGATAAAGTTGAACGCAACCGTCACATCCCTGCTCCCGGCTGGAACTGCTGTGATACAGGTAAGTTCATCTTATTGGTTTCTGTACCGTGGGACGTGATTGTTGTTGAGTTCTCGTTCTAAATGGCACACCCTGTATTTTATGGCGGAGGCCAACTGACGTTTAACCTTGCTGAGGGAATTAGATCACATTCTGAATCGAACAACAAGGTCGTATGCTGTGTTTTCCTCGGCACGTTTAGAGTAACTCAAGTCTTCCATGACTAAGTATTCAACCTCCAAGAGATAGCGTCTAATTAGCAGTGAGATAATTTAAAAAAAAAACACTGACCCTCTGACTGTCTCTCTGTCAAAGAGTCCATATGCCTAGTTAAGAAATGAAGTGCATTTATTTGAGATAGGGAAATTTAAATTTGAAAATATCTGTTATTTTACGACTGTGCTTACGTCTTGGATCTGCGACGGCCATTTCATTGGTTCACTTTCACTGAAACGGAGGGAAAGAAAGTAGGCCGGCCCTACTCTCGCTCTGATCAAGTACGTCCAGGACCGAAAGTAGTGCGAGGAACTCTTTTGAAAATCGCGGAGCAAACAAGTGTCCGTGCAGTCCCGGAACGAAACACTTCCGTCCATATCTCTCGATCTTATTTATGCTTGTTTATTTAACGACGCTGTCTGGCAAAGCCGGGCCAAGTTTTGAACCCGAGATCTCCCGATTACGGAGCAACAGTAATACGATTTCATAAAGACGACGGAGGCAGTATGACCTCTGAACCGTTGGTTAACATCGACCAGACTACACAGCGCAACAACCCAGAAGACAGAAATCTTCATACTCATCGCCCTGATGATGGAGGCAGTATGACCTCTGAACCGTTGGTTAACATCGACCAGACTACACAGCGCAACAACCCAGAAGACAGAAATCTTTCTCAGATTCCATAATTAATCCATTAACTGACAGATATGTGAATTACGTAATTGCATTTATGCGGAAACTGCTAATTGACTAATTTAGACATCGCGCCACAGATTACAGTTTGAAACCCGAGTCTCATCTAAATGGCGCCTCAGACGAAACTCAACCCTTCACTGGCACAAAGATAAAAAGGTCGAAGCTGCCCCAGTCATAACACGACGTATTGTCCATTGTCTCCGGCAGGTAGAGTCTGTTCGACGCCCAGCGCCACCAAAATGCTGAAGGTGGTCGGTGCCTCGTGGTACCAGACACGTGTCAGCACGTGCATCGTGGGGGCCGTGTCCGCCCTGGGGATACTGGCGGTCATCCTGGGGGAAATCGACAGGTGAGTCTAGGCCGATGGTGTGCCGGGAGCCAACCCCGCGAGAAACTAATAGACGTAATTTGGCGATTTCAAATAAAAATTTCCATCCATTCTAATTTTCACCAAAGTCTTGTGTTACTTACACTTGCAGCGCCATTTTCTTTTTTTAAAAAAATGACTGGCAATTTCGACGCGCAGGAGCAAGGCCCAGCCTCCGCCCTGGAAGGAAACTACGCCCACACGAACGCAGCTAATTCCAAGATCTTTCGCAGCATTTCGAAAACTTGCTTAGATTTTGCCCTGCGCCCAACCAGCAGGCATCCTGCATGTCTGATACTCGTCCGCCACGTGACTCTACCCTGAGCCTCAACTTTAAACTCTTATTTATTTAAAATCCGTTGTAATGTCTTCTTAAATGTGTGGCCTGGTTTCTCGAGTCTGTGCAAGCCGACGGAGAACTATGTTATTTGGCAAAGTATGTGGAAATGTACAGAAGGAGTATGTTTCCAGTCTCAAGTGTTACTTTCCCCCCCCCCCTGGGACTTTTACATTATCAGTATTGAGAGTCGTGGCGATGTTGACATGACGGCGAAAGAGGGGTGTGTCCCCATGTCTCTTCACTTCCGCCAACCCCCTACTCTGGAAAAACGCGCCTCTCCTATTTTCGCTGTCAACGTGGCAACATCGCCTTGACTTTGCAACGCCGGGGTTCGATTCCCAGAGGAGTGGAGATTTTTTTCTTTTCTACGACGTCGAGACTGGTTCTGGGGTCCACCCAGCCTCATCCAAGGGGTAAGGTACCCCTGGTTCTTTCCTAGGGGGGTGAAGTGGCCAGATCATGGAGCTACTTTATTAAGCATCAGTGCCGTCATCGACTCTTATGACTGGCTCTTTTTGAGAGACTCCTCATTTCTGAATAAACACGACAAGCATGACTCTCAGGAATTAGTTCCGGACGCAACATCGCTGACGTGCTGTGATTTGACGTTCAAATAGAGACGTGACATCGTTTGGGATTCCCCGTTTCATTTGTCTTCTGAACGACCTCGAACTCTCAGCGCGAAACTTTTAACAACGATGTGTTGAAGCTGAGAGTCGTTCGGCTTGTCAAGAAATTCCCTGGCGTCTGTGAACCCAGATTAATCCATTCCACCAGAGTCTTGTGGCTAGAACATTTAGGATTCGTTTAACTATTTCTCTCGCATTCACGCGGAATTCTGCTCGTGAGCGCCCTCTTTTCCAGAAGCTCTCTGCCTGCAAGGTTATGTGGGTCACATCACCTGACAACACTTGCCGAAGATGATAACATCTAGACTTCTCCATCGTCCAGTTTCTTCCTAGCAACTTAACTTTTCTTCTGCGAATGTCTTCCTTGAATTGAGCGAGGATCGGGCACATCTTCGCGGTGAAATTGTTAAAAGTCTAAAAACTAACTTTAGCCGGGGAAGGGAAGACGAGACACGCTTCAAAGTGCTGGCTGGCAATGGACCAAAGTTCACTGTGGCTGGTGTGACAGACACTTAAAGGGAATTTCGCGTTTAATTCTAACAATAAACTCTTCGCAGATGTTATGAAAAGGCATCGCCTGTGGTCCATATATCGGCTCTCACGGCCTTTAGTATGAAGATGGCCGTCTTCTGAGTTGATATCTAATTTCCCTTATTCCTTTAGTCGTTTGACAGGGGATTTGAGTTCATCGGCGTATTTCTTTCCTTGCAATATTTCCGTTGATTTAATTACCATAGGCATGATAAGGGATTTTGTGAACACGGTGATGAACCTTCGGGTTCCGTGAAGAAAGTGGGCTATTTGAAAATCCGAGTATGCAGTCGACTTTTCAAAGAATTTCCTGCACAGTTTGAAGTCCTTGGTTTCTTTTCTGGTGCTGTTCGATCGAACCTTCCAGTTTCCAGAGGCTTTGAAATCTCCTCTCAAAATTTCAATATCTAATGTAAAGAAATCGCACTACGTAATAAGTATCTTCTAATAATGTTTCAGGGTTTGTACATATGTGAATGGTAATAAGTCAAAATTATATTTATGAGAAATCAAAGTAGATTAAACTCTCACTTTCTTGTTCTTGTGTCCGCCGCTGCAGGGAGGAGGATGACGGCGTCTATTCGGCCACTGTGTTCTGGAGTGAAAATACAGGCTTCCACATTGATTTCTGGGGTCAGGGGAATGAAATGGAGGACATTCCATACGGAGTGGGTCGCGCCTGCTACAGACAGGACATTGACAGAACAGGGTATGTACGCTGATATAACAATACTGATAACTGCAGATGTTCTGATAATCCCGAAAGACTGTGAGACAGACGTTGACGCACAGATACGTACGTTCCATTATCAACACAGCTTTGATGACAAAAGGTGCGTCCTTAACAATGATTAATAATCTACTTCCTGTATGCCACAGTTGAAAACGTCCCTGTGACGTAGTCAAGTTGCGATGTGCGCATGCGTAATCCCCCTAATCCTAAGTGAAAAACATTGGTCTTAATACAAAGATAATTCTTCGTTGATTTCCTCTGTCTGTTTCATTATTACTGAATTTTTTTTTAACTTCCGCTGTTTTAAAGTGTTACCGGTAATGTTTACATCAAACAGAACAAATCTGATGTTTTTTGGTCTGTTAGTAGTGCAGCACGTGACTTCCCAGGCTGTATATGTCAAAGGGGCTTAACTGTACACGCAATTTCATTCTGGCTCTGCTTTTACATCAGAACGCTGTAAAGTCACAGAATAAGGAGATATTAAAAAAATAAGTGCATGTTCATCTTAAATGGGTGAGACTTTGACTATATATTCAGAGATGTTAAAATTGCAGTTTCATATTACAGCATTCTTAATTAGGAAACAAAACGTACGGTATTAAAAATATTTTTGAGCCCTGTAGTTTTAACTTAAAATTCCTTTTCATATTTGTTGATTTTTATATAAAATGATAATGAGTTGTCAACAAAAATGTTATTTCGTGTACGCAATTGGACGTATACACCAAAAACGGTAGGAATTTAAACTTCTTTGCGTATGGCTCAGGAAATAAACAGTGTAGTGGTGTAGCACTCCGAATATTTAATACAACTTAACATTCACATTCAAAGAAACTTTGTGATTATATCATGAACCTTGTGCATTTTGAATTGAAGACCTCAACGCAATCATTTTAGTGTGTTCTAATTGAATGTGAAGTGTGTTATCATTTTAAAAAAACCTTCCCATCACAGTCTGGCACTGAACAAGAACCTGTGGCGGGTGATACCATTGAATTGCAAGGCAGTTAATGTCATTCAGCGCAAATGTCTCCAGTGGATTCCGTATCGCTGTTTATTTCGATGTTTTATATTTTGTTACGCGGCAGGTGGGCGATGCTGGAGGTTGAGACGCGGGACGAGTACCCAGACTGGGTGCAAGCATACTCTGCAGGACTGCTGGAGGGCAGTTTGACATGGCAGCTCATCCACTGGCACTGGCAGAACACTGTGCAGAATATGTGTCAATACCAGGTTGAATTTTGCAAACAAGTCCGCAGCTTTGTCGAGATTAACTCCGGAAAGATCAAAGACTTGGCCGAGAAGAGGGGAAACAGTGATCCTTTCTGGCACCAGGTGTGATCTACGTAAACATTTATTTGGTATTTCTTGTTTTGTCATGCCACAGAGCCTTTAAACTTTCTCTGTAATTCCATTTATTAGGAAGATACATTTAGGAGACGTGATACCTAAAAACATTGAAGTCCACTTACTCAATTGTTTCTCGCACTTATACGTTTTGGACAAGAATAAGGAAACTGTGTTTTTGAAGGCCGCAGTTTACTTAAAAAATATTGACAGCAATCACACCAACATAATAACTGTGGCTGTACCTTAAATGTCAGGAAGAAAGGAACATATTTATGTCCAAGTAGACTGAAAAATATTTGATAAATGGGAATCTTCATGAACTCGAGGCAGACTACGAAGTAAGAGACGGGAACCCTTCACCAAAGTCTTTCTCCTTCCATGAATACTAACAATTTGAGAGAGGCAGGTCCAAATTTGACCTGTAAGATCTTCGTTGGATATTCAGTTTTCACGGCGGTGCATCCGAAGATGGCTGTCTTCTGGGTTGTAGTACCGTGCAGTCTGGTAGAAGTTTACGAAGGTATCGGAGGTCCTTGCTGCCTCCGTCATCAGGGCGATGAGATCATTGCCTTGAATGGATCTCGGAAACATTAGTAAACTACCAGACGACACCGCACTACAACCCAGAAGACAGCCATCTTCAGTATGATTCTTGACTAAAATGTTACCTGCACTTCTTAAAGACTATGGATCAATCACTAGTCATGGCAGTGACATTTAATTTCTTTGTATTAGGTACAGCTGTTCTATGTTCAATTGGATGGCCTAGAAACTGGCTGGAGACACGGAGTTAAGAGGAGCAGACACGAGATTGACATTTCTCACCTTGACTTTCTGTAAGTAACGCCACTGAAGAAGCTTTGTTCTTTTGAGAACCAGAGCTGATTTCTTGTACTCACTGCAGATGCACGTCATCTAGCCCTTTAATCATGGTCGGCAAGTAGATGTCCTAAGTGTTTTCGAAGCCACTGGTATTTCCTGAGAGCACCAGAGCGAACACATGCTAAAAATGCACTGTGAAGTGAATTTCCCTCCTGTGTCAGGTCCATATTTTCCAGTTAGGATTTCAAAGCCATTCTTCTCCTTATGCTAAAAATGCACTGTGAAGTGAATTCCCCTCCTGTGTCAGGTCCACATTTTTCAGTTAGGATTTCAAAGTCATTCTTCTCTTTTGTCTGTGGACCAAGGTTTATTTGAACGTGTCCAATATCCATCAATAATGCTATTAAGATGCCAAGAAAAACATTCTTCAAGTTCATCCCACTTTTCTCTGCATTTCATTCTGGTTTGCCCTGAAGAGTCCAATCCTGACTGTACAGTGGCCACTAAAATTTTCAACCAGAAGGCTAGGAGGGAGTCACTTGTACAACAGCACAATAAAGTTTCATCATCTCCCACCAGGACTAATGTATAATTCTGTAGTACGTGTTGATAATCTTTACAAGCCGCCGACATTTTCCTTAGGCTGATGTCTGGGCAGTTGTCCCTTTGCTTCATTATTCATGAAACTTTGTACATTCAGAACAGTTTCCTGCATCTGCCCTTTTCATCAAATAATCCAATTTAGAATGTATCTGTAGCATAAGTAGCGTGCCATAAACTCGCTCTGCTCGCTTGACACTGCTCTACTGGTTATTTGATGTTAACAGTACCATTGAGGAAAATTACTCTCAGATTGATGGACAAAATAAAACAAATAGCCAGCCTTTGCCACTGAACGTCCGTCTGCCGGGTACGCTATCTTCGTAACCAGCCAAGAAGTTCACTGACCACTGTATCCCCTTAATCTGCATACTGCAAGACTCCTTCCAATGTATCTGGGTTGTACTGTGTTTGATCTACGGCTGTCGGCACACGCGTGCGAGCACACGAAGTTCCCGGATCCCACGTTGCAAGTATTATGGAGCTGTGGCGCCCACTTGAACATAAATGTAGTTCCATTGCATTTGTTCGGCTTTATTTTCAGGTGGATGAACATGGTGAGTGACTTGGCTGACATGGAACATACATTTAACGGTCCACTGGAAGACACACGGTTCCCTTTTGTGTTCTCTACAGCTGCCAGTTTCTCTTCCGCTTTTGTTAAGTTTCGCTTGGAGACTGGGGAGCTCTTTGCAGCCCATAACTCTGGAGGATTGTAAGTAGACATTAGTAAGGATATCTGGTATCATAATATACAACATTCAGTTTGTTTACAGCTGTAAAACAAATTACAGCCGTGTCACTTCAGGGCTGATTGTATTTAGTAACCAAACTGTAAATAAATAAACATCAAGAAAGCGAAGGATTTGGGCCTGTTTCGGAGATTTATGTGTGGGTTTACACATGTAATGAAAAGAATAAGTAAATGTTAATTGTCCCACAACATTTTCTTGTAAATTAGTCATATCACCATTTTTAGGTGAACCACTCCTTGCCGCGTATTAGTCTGTTAAATCGAGGGTTTACTCCTTAATTAAATTGCTAACCAAGACTTACTTAACCCTCAAGCAAGACTGTCTTTAACTATTTCACGAGAGGACCCAGTGACTGGGCACTGTAGTGCACCTTTGGATTCCAAAAAACCAGGAAATTTCTTGACCATTCTGCAACATCATGTATTGTAGTTTTCTTCTTCTTCTTCTATGGCTCTCCGGTCCGTATTCGGTCCATGGCCTCCTCAATTCTCCTCTTCCATTCGGTCCTCTGTTAGGTCCGTCTGTCCCGAGGCTTTGATCAAGGTTTTGAAACATCTTCCTTTTTACGGTGCAAGGTTGTTAGCCTTGCGACCATCCCCCAACCTGGAGGACCAGGGTACCTGTCTTAGTCTGACCTCTCCCCCTCGACCAATCTGGCTAGGTATGCCCTACGAGTAGCTCTTGGGGTGACTGAGGTACTCAAGCCCCGTGACCACGACAAGGAGCAGGTACCATTAAGTGGGGAATTGTAGTTTTACCATTGTCCATTCTTGTAATTCTTATGAAATCGTAGTAGATGCCATAGAAAGGGATTAAATCCTAGCCGTGTGTAGTTCATTGTAGGACTTCTGTTATTTTTAGAACCAACAAAGGTTGGTAACAGTACCATAAGGTTCAGCCACTAATATCAGTGCCTTCCTCTGGACATGATCCCAAGTCAGTTGACTCCACCTGCCATCCTCACAACCTCCTCCTGTAAGTTCTGTCTTCCAATTGTCCCCAATATTCTTCTCAGTAACCACTGTCCAAGAGGTTTCTCAATCAAAACTGTTTTCATTTGCTGTTTCAATACTAGCAACAAGCTCAGTCCATCTTGGCCTCCTAGCTTCCATGCAAAACTGTTCATTTTGTTTTTAGGTACCAATCCATGCTGCGGGTGTTGAAGCGCTATCAGCTGGGTTATCACCGCACATCTGACCGTGATTCATTCCCTGTTCCTGGCCAGATAATAACATTTTCATCATATCCGGGCGTCATCCACTCACAAGATGATTTCTACTTGGTAGCGGGTGGACTAAAATTTGGCAAGAAACAACATCAACTTGCAGTCCTTGGCACTGCCTTCAGCTACAATAACAGAACTTTGAGCAGCTTTGATCAAAAAGAGCAGGTAATGATAACAAGCTTAGTGATTAAACAGCCAAATGATTGTTTACTGCCTTAGTTTCAGTTTCTAAAATGCAGACGCACATGATCAAACAGCAGTTTTTCTCTAACTCTGTTTTGTTTCTGTTAAATGCAACATTCCATTGCTAAGAACAACACTAAACTTTACAGTGGCAAATTTATCATGTCCCTCAGCTTTGGAGCATGTGGTCCCGGCTTGTGTGCGCGCTCACTAACCGACGCAATTGCTGTGTCGTCAAGACTGCAATCTGAGCCAAGCTGCAGGCATTTGCTGAACTGCTATTACTCATAGCGAGCAGTTAGTCGTAGCACACTTGTGAAATGTATTCAGTTAAACAATGTTTTGGAGAAACCTGCTGCCTCATTATTCAAAGTAGACAAGAACTGGGATGTATGTCGTGGGCCAGTACGAAATGTGCAGAAGGAAAGGGCATCCATCGACCCATTTAAAATTGAAATTATGACAGAATCAGAAGGAAAGTGCGAGTAAGGTGGATATATGTGCCTTGTACATTAAGAGAACATTATTTCATTCCTTTACTAACAAATAATAAGCTTCTGTCTTCTGTGTTCATGCTACTGGGATGGAGCTTGATCTTCGTTGCATTTCTGATGATCCTGTACGTGCATGTGGTTTTTCGACCAGGACACTGGCATCTAGTTAATGGATGCAGTGATCCGTGTTGTGTTCTGCCACAGCTGAGTTTTGTTGTTGTAGGTACTCGTTGGTCCACGTGTGATGGCTGCAAACAGACTGGCAAAAGGCAGCCGTTTCTGGGGGTGTTATTTAGAACAGGCTAACAGTGGTACTGGCAGCAAGCAGTGGCTGATTGTAGATTATGGCCAGATAATGGGCCTAGATGCAGTTAATTCCCTTCATGTGGACAAGAAGGTTGCCAGCAAGTTGCTGTCCAACCTACAGCCAAAGCAACAGAATGCCGTGAAGAAAGCCAGAGCACCCGTCGGCGTTAAGAGGGGCCTGCTATGGGTCGTTGAGCAGACGCCAGAGCACGTCCATTATGCCGATCAGACTCGCATGTTGCAGCAAACTGGCTTTTGGGTCTCAGATGGACATCCTTATTACCAGGTATTGTGTTTCTTGCTTCTGATCACTTTGCATGTTGAAGAAAGAACATGGACAGAATGGTGGATGGCTCCTGGGGCCTTTCTGAACATGAAATTTGACAAAAAAAAGTTCTAAATGGCCTTCCTTGAAGACAAATTCAGGGTCTTACACTCTGTAACCAGGCAACTTCCAACTAATAATGGAATATTTCAAGCTTTCACTGCTAATGAGGACCTGTTTCCGAGTGATGTCAGAAAATAATGAATCAGTAAGACATTACTTTATATGAATTAAATTCTTATTTTCTCAGTATTTTGTTGACTGTATTTCACATGGCACGCATTCTTGCTGAAATTCAAAAAAAAACACATTTCAGAATTAATTTAAATGATGTTCTGTTTGGTATCGTCGGTAAGATCTTGCAGATAAACCCTGATCATTTATTTGATCCCAGGTGCAGCAGTTTGTGGGCACCAAATCAAGTTCAGAATTTTCTTCTCTTTTCAAAAATGTAAAACTCATTCTCAACATAACTTGCGTTCCAGATACTTTACATGTATGCTGTAGCGTCTGCCCATTCTTGCCGTTGCGTGAAAGCAATGTTCGACTCCTCACTTTCACATCTTTATAAGTAAAGCAGTGAAATTATGTTTTCATATACAGCCTTCTTGTTGTTAGCAAAATTATTTCACCAGTGCCTTATCATGATATTATTTGACATCTTTAGTTACTTCACATAGCAAAAAGAGGATATTACTTGTGAAATTATTCAATAACACGTGCTTTGTTTATTTCAGGACACATCTCATACAAATGTAAAGACAACAGCTGGTAAGTCTGGTATGCAAGCCTTTCATGATGACCAATTGGATGCTACAACTGTTATTTCTGTAATGCAGTTAATGAGGAATAACACTTTCTTGTCCAGTTCCCACCCTTCTCTTCAAAATGGTAGTTCGTCTTCATTCTCCTCTAATCTACCCCCCATGGGCACCATAGATTCCAAGATACTTAAGGCTTCTCCATTCCAGAAAGTTGAATTACATGTCATATCTGGACCACCAGTCACTTACATTGAAAGTAATAAAAATAATTGTTCTGCGGATATAATGTTTCTTGATATTCCTTTCCAGTGGTCCAAGAGTCAGTTTGCTAATGAAACTCATATTGGTCTTCCTGATCTCTGGCAATTTAATGCAGTTCAACCTGAATGGTTTTGGGTGTGAAAGTAGTTTGGTCACGTTCCTGTGGTAAACTTTTTTCGTGTTATCCAAATCTGTTTGGAATCGCGCCAGTGTGACCTGTGTGTGGCAAGTGGGTCAACCAGAGAATTGTGCAGCTCATTCTATAGTGAATGTTTAACACAACAGCATGTGTGAAGTTTCAAATTCAGAAGTAGATTATCCACTGTGGAAGATATTTTAAATCAGCAGTAATTTTCAAACTTCCGCTTCTTTGGCGTAACTTAAATAAAAAAAGATGGGACAAATTTCACCGCTAATTCAGTGAATTAAACAGTCTGTTGGAGCAACGAAACTCATTTCATATATGAATGTGTGTACATCTGAAAACCAAAGCTTCCTTTTCTAGGAACTGATTTTCATTTGCTGTTCGACCCTCCAATGTGTGTCTGATAACACAATTCCGGCAAAGCTGATAACACAGGTAATTCACTGATTTTAAGCAGGTATAAATGTTCTTCTGATGATACAGTTTTAGCTGTGGCATCTTCCTAGGCCATGAGAGGACATTTTCTCAACCGCTTTGTCATACTATCACAGTCACAATTTCATGTGTCTGTAATCGAGGCTGAACCACGTGAACACCGTACAAATCAATAGTGTCTTGTCTGACATATGGCATGACTGCAATGTATTGTATATTGACAACTGAGAGAAAAACAATAATACATTTCTTCTCCATATTTCATCTTACCCACTGGACCTTTGTAAGAGAGCTGTCAAAAATGGTGAGAATATTACACAAGAATGTATTTGACAACTGTTGAAATGTAAAGTGAGGTTATGAATTAAGAATCAATTTGAGGTTATGAAATATATTAGTTGCAGAAGCAAAAATTCCCATTCTTTGCCTTTCAAGAAAATGAATTTGAACAATTTGTACGCTTTGTCTGTTGAGAATGTCTTCATTTGATTGTCACTTGGCATGCAGCTACATATTTTGTTGGAAGTTGCTCAGTTTAAGGTATGTATTTATACCATTGCATTTGAGTGTCAGAGACCAAATGATGGGATTTCCTACCTCTTTCTTTTGAAATGTGCCTTTCATTCAAGACATACTTTACTAAAAATGTATAAATGTTATGTATTTGAAAAGCATAAATAATTTTTGTGTGTATTTATTGGAGTCTCTTACACAGTGACATTGATCCAAAAAGCTGACTGAAGAAGAAAATAAATGCAGTAAACATTTTCAAATGTTGTACTTGTTTGACTTGCCATGCATTCCTCATTTTCTTTTGGACTGATTTTCATAAAAAGAAGAGTGAACATAAATAGGGCTCTTTGTACTCCATAGAAGCAACTTGGGCACCTCGCATGTCTGTCAAAAGCACTGGAACACACTTAATGATTGACTGTTCACCATTTTACTTATTTTATTTTAATTTCCTCCAACATGGCAAACTCTCACATTCTGAAGTAAATGCCTGGATGGAGAACAATATGTACTCGGGTACAACAAGATCTGACTCATATTTTGATTCACAGGTTTGTTTCAGCAGAGATACTCTTGTTATATGCAATTCTCGATTAATGGCTTCAGAAATGACTCCTGTAACTTGCTTTGGTGCTTCATCACAGCACTTGTTCTGACTGCTCCACACTTCCTGAACTTAACAATAACTGTAAGAGCTTCAGCGGAGCATCTTTCAGTACTGTAGTGAGACACTGCTGAAAATTCTTCAACTGGAACAGTCTAGTCTAAAAGACGTTTTGCAGAGGTGCAAGGAATTCATTCAGAACAATGGAAATAATTTTCAGCTTCTATTGTAATCGGGGGAATCTCTGTATTTTGGAAGTGTTTGAATCTGGGGAAGCTAACCTCAACATTCATTTACTACAGGTAAATTGTTAGACCATTTGAGTAAATTCTTTAAAATTGGTGAAGGTGATGGAATAAATTTGTCTTCATTTTCACTTTTAAGCCAGGATGAACCAGCCCCTGCAGCACTTGGATTTTAATGGTGACCAACATGGCTGCAATGCTGTTCTTATTTAACAGTGGTAATTATATATCCTTATAATTGGTTAAATATGTTTCATATAAAAATGTTTAGCATGAATGGTGTCATTATTATATGTTATGTAAAGCTATGAGTACAATATTTCATACAATGAGTAGGTATTGTAATTATTTTACCAACAGTTTTTTAAACAACGCTATTTCGACTGCTTGTTACATAGAGTCGACTGATAGATAATTAATAATGAACTGGGAATGATGCAGAAGGAAGTGGTCGTGGCCTAATTTAAAGAATTATCCTGGCATTTTCCTGTTGAGACTAAAAAGGCCTTGGGTAAAATGACATACATTTCTCTTATGAATTACTATTATGTGCACCAATAAAGATTCAAGAACATAATGATTAAGCAGGATTTGAGGTTTTCATGGCCGTGAGTATGAAGACAGCCATCAACATCATGATTAACGACATATCAGGCACAGAGAAGCTAATCAGCAAACAGAGCAATCTTGCACAGTGAAAGCAGCACCTTCATATCAAAAACAATGTAGACACACTTTGAAATATTCAAGTTCTAAATATAGTAAAAAGTTAAGGTTTTCATAATAAAGTCTGGAAGCACTAAATTTAGCACAAGCAAGTGAACATCGACTGACAAAGGTAAATTCTCTGTGCTATTAGGTCTGTGTACAGAGTTCATACACAAACCTGGCTTGTCGTTTAACACAAAGTTGGCTGCACTTGTTCTCTAAACCATAATCTAAAATTACGAGACACACTGAAGAAGCAATTAGTATTAATTATGACTTACTTACAAAGTCTTCACTTGATATCTGCTTCAATAAACTGATCACAAATCTTGGCTGCCAATGTTGATACACTGTGACAATAAAACCGTAAGCGAAAAACATATTTTTGCACACGAATCTTAAAATCGCGGTCTATCAACGCGCCATTTCTTTTTTTACTGATTTGAGTACCAATATGACGAACCTAACGGCGCAAAATTTAAAACATTTCGAGGAATACACCTATCAGTAATATAGATGTATCATTTTACCCAGTTATGTAATTTCAGTCTAGTCTCTCTACATTGACTCCATTGATAAATTTATATTACTAAATTAACAGACTGTAACTGTTTCCGAGTTTCTTGAATAGTGAGTGACTGTTGGCTTCTCAGGAAGGACTAGGCTCCATGGAGTAATTAAGTAGCTGTACCTCGTAAAATGAGGCTACACAAGTCGAACTAGATGGCACACTGTTGTGCGAACGTGTCCTTTGTAAGCGAGCACGTAGGCCTGCCCAATGGTTTAAATATTTCAGTTAGGCCTATTATAAACAGCCTATTTCTTTCATGCCCACATTGATGGAAATTGTTTCTGTGTTTTGGAGTGTTCTGTGAAATACAACGTATGCGTGGCACGTGATTTTACTCACGAGTGTGCGACACAATCTTTCTCCTGTTGGAACTGTAGTGGATTTATCATTGTCATTTTTTGTAGGACTCTTTTGTCTTCGTCTTTGACTCAAGACAACTAATACTAATTCTATGTACAACAAATACGGACGGGCGTGCTTTGTTCTTTACGTGCTTTTTGTGGAACTTGGGACAAAAGACAAAGGCGTTCGTTGTAGCTTTCGAAGGTTTCTTGCCCGACAACGCGTAAGCTGAGATGTTTCTTTGAGCGTTGACGTGATTTGGACTTGAGCTGGTGTAATCTGACCCAGTCTGAAAACTGTTGAGAGATATAAATGTGGATGTTTTCTGTTCATTATTGGAGACACGAATTGCCACACAGCTGACCAAACTCCGTGAAATGAATTTGAGTTAAAGACACGCAACTCGCTCCTTAATTATTCTTACTTCGGTTACCAGCTGAGAAATTAACATAAATAACACCTGTAAAACTAAACATGGCCTTAAATCTCTTCACTGTTTGAATGTAAAATACATTAAAGGATGCAAGTTAACTAGAAATCTTGCCAAGCATTTAGCGGAGTGTCCGTCTGATGTTAGGTGCGACCCGAAAATCGGTGCCTGTAACCACAGATCTGTATTTTCTGAAGCCGCGGGGAGAAGAACAAACCATAACCTAACAATTAACCAATTCTGTCCCATATCTGTTACTGTTTAACGAATCACGACACAGAATCTGAAATTGTTTTTCGTTACATTTCCTTAAATATCTCTAGTAAATGTTTCGAGCAACATTTAAAGAGCTCAATGAGACACATATTTTACTCCGTGCACTAATAATTTTGTACGAAGAGTTGGTTTTCAATTTTTTTTTGAAAATTAAATTTGAGGGGTCCTGTGATAGGGCTTGTAAGTGGTATAAACACGTGTAAATGAACTTGTCATACAAATTTTAATGTGAAACCCAGTATAGTATTTCAAAGACATTCGACGAATAATTCGAGATATAAAACATGCTGACGAATGGACGGACAACAAACCTTAGCATTATGCGTTCATTTTATGCTGTTTTTTTTTACAGAGAACACGTGTCAATTGCTTTCCTAAGCCGTGGATTTCCTAAGAAGAAAATCATGACAAATTGTTCAATAACACGATTCAAGGAGTTGATGTTGAACAGTTTTCTCCAACGTGTTATTATCCAACACCATGAACGAATTTTAGGGGCTTGCAACCAGTTTATTCAATTTTGTTTCCTAATTTACATGCTCATGAATACATTTTTCGACATGTAGCCTATAAAAACACACTAGAAGCCACTTACACACTCAGGGACTAATTTATCTTAATAGATAGATTAAAGAGTAACGCTCCGTTAAGAACTTTGAACAAACCAGTTTTAAACCTTATAATCTACATCTCAGTTCTATTTATTACGATCAGTTACTTATTTATAGACGAACGACCTTACAGTTCAGTTTCGTTTCACAATTGATATCTTTAACAGGTATAAGCCCCCCGGAGATTTCGTTCTTTCGTTGCATAACAACGCATCGGCGTAGTGGGGAAATGGAGTGTAGCTCCGGGGAAATACATATCAGCGCCAAACTGCGAGAACCCCCACGAAATCGGTTGCCTGGTCGTTTGGTAGGCAGGATAAAACAGCCGACGAAGACATTTGCTTAGACTGCAGCTGATACGCTGCCAAAAGAATTCTGCCAAGTGACGCAGGGTAGTAAAACATTCATATCTGTTTTCAAGGGGCACACAAATTGCCCATCACCAATGCAGAAATATTTGATGTAATCGGACAAATAATGAGTGCAGTATGAATTATATAATGAAATCTTTATTTATTATTTATTTAGTGTTCTATCTGACGACAGGTCCATATGGACAGGATCCTTCCATCCTTTTCTCGGACTGGGACCTGTTCATATACGTTCTTGGCAGATGATCCAGAAGTGGTTTGCCATTGCCTTCTTCTGTGTGTGAATGGAGTAATTGTTGGGATGCCACGGAGGAAAACTCCGTGTTGCCTAGACCACGGCCTTGCCCCACACAAGTTATAAATTCGGGCACCGCCGGGAATCGAACCCGCGACGTCAGAAAAATGTACCTTCTAGAAATATTTCACCACAGGGTAACAAAAATTGGATAAAATTTAGACGTTAGAATCCTTACAAATATTTTAAGTATATTAGAGTAAGAGTGTCATATAATACCAATTGTAAAATATTGTATTTACAATTTATTTAACGACACTTTCACTATCTACAATATATAGCGTCAGTTGTAAAATAAAAATACAATACAGTGAATTTTATGATAGTTGTGTTTGCACATTAAAATGTTTATGAGCTGTGGCCAGATGCACATAGGCCAAGGAGAAAGGAATTTTAGGATTCGTTTACACAGAGCATGCAAGGGACATCAGACACTACCAAGCATAATCACGGTACGCCCTGGACATGCTTGGTCATATCCTCTAATTCGCCTGCAGAACACACGATGGACATTCTCGGAGTGTCGCAAATATTAAATAACTTAGACACATTAGACAGATTTTATATTTATTAAAATGATGGAAGCAAAATGATGTCAAAGTCGCCATCTTATGTCAACGTTTCTGTGCTGTCTGATGTGATCATCGGAAATAGCAAAGACAC